AGAGAGACGAGGAGAGAGAGCGAGCAGATGGAGAGAGAGAAAGAGACGCAACGCGCTAAACAGAGAGCAGAGAGAGCGAGAGAGAAGGGGAGAGGGGGAGAAGCGGGGAGAGGAGGAGGGAGAGAAGAGAGAGAGAGAGAGAGAGAGAGAGAGAGCAGAGAGAGAGAGAGAGAGAGAGGAGAGAGAGAGAGACGAGAGAGCAGAGAGAGAGAGCGAGAGAAAGAGCTGACCGAGGAGAGGTGATTCGAGAAGAGATCCTCACAATGTTTCATGTAGGAACATCACGTATCTCAATGTTCGATGTATGGGAAGCGATCAGTGGTATCTCACAATGTTTATGTATGGGAACACTACGTATCTTAGAATGTTTAGTAGGGGAACATCAACGTATCTAACACATGTTTCATGTATGCGAACATCACGTATCTCACAATGTTCATGTATGGAAATCACGTATCTACACTCACCACTCACTCACTCACTCACTCACTCACTCACTCACTCACTCACTCACCATCTGCTGCTTGACGATCTGTTCGATTTCCGTAGCAAGATCTGAAGGTGTGATTCTTATAGTGACCTCGGGATTGCTTCTCACCGACACACTGGACTGGTTCGAAGGCTGCAAGAAGACACAATCATACGTCAGCATTACATGATGCCCGCACTGATGATCCGCAGTGTGGAAGTGCGGCATCATCTGCCCCGCACAGCACGTAATACCTGCCAGACACACACACCTACGCGGCACATGCTGCCACTGGAAATTCCCAACTGAAAACGCGCATGCGTTTGTTCGCAGCAAGAGCATGTTTCAAAACACAGTACGACCTCGCATGCACAATGACGACGGGCACGATAACAGGGACCCTGGAGCCAGATGGTATAACCGCAGCAACGTGGTTTTAGCAAACAGTAACACGCGCACAAGCACGTATGCATGAACGAACCCACGTGCGCACGCTCGCTCACACACACATGCATAAACCTTTGCAGGCAAGAACACACGCACGCCTGTGCATAAAGTGATGGCACTATTAGTTATTACAAGACATTAGATAGACAAGCTATTAATTAACAGATGCAAGTGCAGCAATTAGTCCAATTTAACAATGTGAAGTGCACGACCTTAGAGCGTGACATAACCCTTGAATTAGCAAATGTTAACTGAGGGTTACAAAGACATTGGATCTGAAAATGTGAAGAGTATAACTTACGCTCGTAGGGTCTATGTCCCCCTGACCTCTGTTTTACCTGGCTCGTTTAGCTATTACTGACTAACCCTAACCCTATTATATATTATAATAATATTATATATCTCTTACATAAAGGGCGAGTCTGTTTTTCGGTCTGTCTGTTTATCTTCTCCCCCTCCCCCGTAAAAGGTGACCCCCAACACCATATATATTCTGAATCAGCATGACGCGACGACCATTTTAGGCCAAAAAAATTTGACCCAAAAAATTTGAAAAAAAAAACGTAGCGGCCTCTTCTTCCTTGACGCTCCTGGCGGAACAGGCAAGACCTTCGTTACCAACCTTCTGGCCAAGGTCAGGCAGACGAGGAAGATTGCCCTGCCAGTTGCTTCAAGAGGCATTGCTGCCACCCTGATAGACGGAGGGCGCACTGCTCACTCAGCCTTCAAGCTGCCATTCAACCTGGCAAAGCGGCAAAATCCAACCTGCAACATCAGCCGTGGCTCCATAAAGACCAAGCTGTTCCAAGAGTGCAAGCTCATCATCTGGGACGAGGCAACCAATAAGCCACAAAGGGGCCTTTGAAGCACTCGACAACACCCTACAAGACCTTCGGCACAACACAAACGTCATGGGAGGTGTGACTGTCCTGCTCTC